CAATCAGCATCCTCAAGGCCTCTTCTGGCCTAGGCACTGCCAGGCGCTGGGCCTGCGGAGACCAGATGCACACCGCCCAGTCCTCTCTGGCCTCGAGGGCACTCATCACAGTGCTGGCCACAGTTCCACATAGTGTGTGTCCAGAGCTCTCCGCATACTGGTTGGGAGAGGAGGCGAAGCACAGGTGGGCGAGTCCCCTGCAGGCGCCCTCCTCTTCAGCCAGTCCAGCCCTGTCGGGCTCCCTACCAGGGTGAGCAGTTCCTGCTGCACCTGGAGCGTAAGATTGCTAGAAAGGGCCACGCCCTGGGGGTGGGCCGAGGACCCCAAGGACAGAAGAACAGAGCACATGGCCACCACAAGCTTACTGAAAAATGCACGGGGGAAAAGGGGACAGGGGAAGCTGGCTCTGTTGGAACAGAGGGCTGGCATCGGGAGGTAGACTGGGCCACACGGTATGGAAGGATTGGCCTGATGGCGCCCCTCAGCCACACCATTGTGTGTGGCTGCTGCATGAGAGCAGGCGGACGGCAGTGAGTTCTTAGAAATGGCCTCGGACAGCAGAGGACCAGAGGCACCCCCAGGACAGGAGGCAGGAAGGCCACCAGGTCCCAGGGCATGTTCTGGTTAGAGCCAGGCCCACCACAGGAGACAAGGGAGGATTCTAGGAGCAGACGGGCAAGATTAGACAGCAGCCAGGCACTGAAAAAAAACAGATGGCAATAAAGGAAAGGGAGATTTAGGGACAAATGTTGCAAGAGCCTCGAAACTGAGGAAAACTAAGGAACTTGGAAAAAAGACGAGGCCTTAAAGCACTCGAACAACGCTGGGACTAACAGCAAGCCCAGCAGGTGTGCTGAGAGGGGCTCTGGAATTCCTGGGGGGCAAGGGGAAGTAAGCCTAAAAATTAAGGGTGACAACGGCTAGGGAGGTACATCTGTGTCCTTCAGACAGACTGAGTTTCCAAGGGAAAGTGCAAGGACCAAGGGTGCCCACAGCCCCGGAAGTGGAAGGAGGGCGTGCAGGTCCTCACCCACACCTGGCTGTGGCAGGTTCTGGCAGAGATGAGCAGAGAAATGCCCTCCGTGGGCTGCTACAGGGAACACACACAGGGAGCCTGAGGGAGACCCTCTCTCTGTCTCCAGGCCCCGCTGGCGGTGGCTGGGAGTGGGAGACAGGAGCCCTGGTCCACACACGTCACCCTGTGGGAGGACCGCGTCCTGACCCCAGATGCTGGGACGTGCTCCTGATGTGCTCTGGCCTAGGAAATGTGAGCAGAGGAGGGCGCGTGGAGCTGTGGATGAGCCTCCTTGTTTTGCTGGATCTCCTACAGTCCTGACTGCTGCCAGAAGAGTCCTCCCCAGGCCCCACTAGCCACAGGACAAGGCACAGGGCACTGACCCAAACCCAATGGGCACTGGGAAGCAGAGCCACTGGGTGACCTGCAGACTGAGGGCAAGAGACACATGCTTGGGGCTCTAAGTCCATGGAATCCTGGGATGCCTCGTGGCACCATCAGGGAACATCTGACTAGCACAGCACAAGTGGGGTCTGCCGCGGTCAAAGGCACCCCTTGTAGAAGGTCACCCCTCCAGGCCTCCTGACTACTGTGCAGAATCAAAAGCACAAACAGGATGAAAAACAATGCTTATTTCAGCCACTTCAAAGGAGAACTTGGTGACTGTCTTCTGGGGTTATTTTCTCAAAGCAAGATAAGTCAAGAGTTATGTATTAAATGTCTTAAATATTGATTGCTAAATAAAGCTGTGTGCGATCAATGAGAAAGAGAAGACGGGGGAGTTTCACTGGGGCAAAGGGCAGGATATACAAAGCCAGGGATATTGAGATTTGATAAGTTGAAAGAGCTCCTCCACAATTGGTTGTGGCAACACCCAGCCTACTGCTGACAGGGATCCCAGAGAGAGAGACTGGATGTCTGGACTGGTCAGGAGTCTCAGAACCAGCTGCCCCTTCCCCAGGCCCTTGTTCTAGAAAAACACTACCCCAAGCTTTGGGACCACAAACTAAGCATCTGGGACAAGAGATAAAGGGGGGAGGTCGTGTGCTCCACAGCAGCTCTGACACTACAAGCTGGCCCCTGCCCCACGGCAGGGGCAGCGGGCAGCCTCAGCCATTAAGGTCCCACGCCCTTGCACACACCCAGGGGCAGGCTCCCGAAGGTTTTCCTGAATCAGCAGATCTACTTCTTATCTTTACGCTCATCCTGTCTCTCACCAGGTTACCCCTCCTGTGGACAATCCTCCTTGGACAATGGGAGAACTCAGAGATCTGGTGATTTCAACACACCTGCTTTACAAAAAAGGTCAGGAGAAAGCCAAAAGGGGACTCCACACAGACTGCCTCGGAGGCCAGGGGAAAGCCAGCCACGCCCACCTCCTTGCTACCGGAGAGCTTCCCCAGCCTTCAGAGCTCCAGAGCTCTCAGGCTTTAGGAAGGAACCCAGGTGGGGGAGACGGGGAGACCGTGAGCTTGGCCCATGTGTTCCTGTAGTGCTCCGGGCCCAACCTGGCGGCATCTATCTCCTTCAATCAGATGCGGCTGACTCTGGGCATCACTGTGAGGCCGAGGCTGTGCCTGCCCTTTGGGGCCCAGCCTGGTTGAAAGGGGCGGCCTCGGCAAGGCAGGCTGAGCCAAGCAAGCCCCATCCGAGAGGGCCTTGGATCTTGCAAGAAAGAGGCGAGTCCCAGGAGGCAGACGCCCAGGGCCTGGATGGGGAAACTATGGCTCCTGCAGCAAGGGTAGATCCACTTCCTCTCCCAGATGCCACTCAACACTGGAGGCCACGCCCCCTCCCTCTGCAGATGAGGAGCTCCTGCCTGGGATGCACCTTCTCCCCTCAGATGTCACCTCTGAAGCCCCTAGAACCATTCCCTTGTCCCCAGTTAGACAGAGTGAGGCGGGGCCTCTGCGTTCCCACCTTTAGCTCAGCTCTTCCTGAGTGGCAGATTCGTCATTCACAACTTGCTGCATCCCACTCTGTCGCTCCTGGAAGGCTGAGGACCCCAGCCGCCGCCAAGCTCCCAGTCCAGGCCCGGCTTCAGCCTGGCGCACACTAGGTGCTCATGAAACATTCCAAAGCGGTACTACCTGCTCACTATGAAATCCGAAGCTGTTTAAGGGACAATATCAATGCCAAAAAACAGGATATCTACTTTTCTCCACTGAGTTCTGGAAAGGATTTGTGGTAAGAATAAAATTTGTCTTATTAAAGCAAAATCTTATCAGTTTGGATTAATTGGGAGGATGGCCTCCATTAACAAAAAGCCAGAATTAGAAAATAAGTCTATGAAGATCGTTTTTTCCCAACCGGAGTGGGGCTAATGAGGTAGCAATGACACAGCAGTCAGTACCTGGGTTCCCACCCTGAAGAACAGATCAAATAACGTCACACAGTCTATGAGCAGATTACATGTGTAATAATTGCGATCTTGCTTTTGCGATCAAGTTGCATAAGAACCCTTCACTTTCTTTTTTTGGGGGATCTTTTTGGGATTATAGTAATCATAATCTGGTTTGTATCGCCCTTCCCTCTTGCGTTGCCTGTTTTCATTTCTTTGGTAATTAAAAAAATTTTTTTTAGTTGTAGATGGAAACCTTTACTTTATCTATATTTAATGTGGTGCTAAGGATCGAACCCAGTGCCTCACACATGCTGGGCAAGTGCTCCACCGCTGAGCCACGCGCCCAGCCCAGCTCATTTGTTTTTGAAAGCTGCCTAATATTCCGTTTGGAGACGGGCCACCATTTGCTCATCTGCCTTCGCACTGATGGCATGTGGGTTGGTCCCAGATGTTGCACTCTTCACAGCACAGCTCTGATCACTCTCCCCTCCAGGCAAGCATTCCCTTGGGCCTCACGCCTAACACACAAGGGGTCGGTGATTCTTCGCCTCTAGAGGGTGCTGCCAAACTTCTTCTGTTGGGGTTGTGCCCACTCACTTGCCCACCAGCCACACGGCAGAAAGCCTGTGGGCCCCATGGCCTCCCATGTCACCTCCAGTGCCTGTAAGATCAGACTCGTTAATATCTGCCGCTTGTTCTCAGAGTAGAACCAAAGGAGTCGTCAGCATATTTGAAGCAGCGAGATCTAAATGAATCAGTGTCTTGAAATAAGAAAATGCCTCTGATTGCAAAACCAACTCTGACTATGGAAAAGCCCCAAATGGAAGGAAAAATCACGGCGATAGTTTACAGTTACCAGGGTTTAACTTTCCCTCCCAATGCAGGACCGCTCACCCCATTAAAAGGAAGCCCACAATTGCAATTCACTCACAGCCCCTGGTAACGCTTCTGCAACTGCTACTACTAGTCTTCTGTCTGCTACTGAACACAGCCCTGCCGGTGTGCTAACCAGTCCTCGGCTCCCCGAAGGCCACTGCACTGTCCCAGGTACCCAGAGAGCAGCCTCCATGCTGCAAGAGTCTGGCTATACGTCAGGGTTAAAAACTGAAGATGTGTTTTGAAATTCATGCCATCTTCCTCACGGGAGGTTCACGGTCTGCAGAGTGGTTTCCATTCCCGCCTCCTTTGATCGGGGAGGAAGGGACTGGAAGTTTCTATTAAACACTTAATAAAAGCAATTCTTTTATTTTTAAATCCATTTGCAGAAACTCCTTTGTAGCATTTTACTTCCTTTCAGCAGCAAGATGCCATTAAGGAGAGCAAAACGGTCTGTAGAATAACAAGGACACGTCGGCGAGTGGTGGGTAATTGAATGAAGGTATCCCCCAAGGCGCAGGGACTCAATTTCTAGGGGCACGGTGCATTTTACAACCACCAGAGAAGCAGTAACCAGCCAGCAGGAACAGTCTGCTCAGAGCACATCTTCTGGTGACTACATTCCAATCACCTATGTCCCACCACAGGCTGGGCACTGCCTTAAGTGAGAATTCAGGGTGGGGACACAGCACCTGCTCCGCAGGGTGCTGCCATCTGCTTGGGAGGATGTGCAAACCACCAGATTACGAAACAAGAAGGAGCCGAGGAAGCACTGTTACTAGGCGGCACAGAGGGGAACCTGAGCTGGACTACTAAGGAGCAGGGCTGTTCCGGTGGAAACAGTGAGGTTTGAACAGGGCAGAGGGTGGTCAGAATGTCTGCAGGAGATGAGACACAGCTCTCGCAGAAGAGAGGGGCCCTCATTCCAGCACTGACTAAGCGCCTCCTGTGTCTGGGGCTGCACGTGGGGCAGGTGCACAGAGCCGGCATCTGAAAGGCCTGGGAAGGGAGTGTTTCCACAGGGATTTGAAATGTGAAAAGCATCAGCCACAGGAAGGGCAGGGGAAGAACTTTACGAAGGGAAGGAAGCGAGTACAGAAGTCTAAGGCGAAAATGGCCCTGGTGCCTCGCAGGAGGGCAAGGGAGGCTGGGCCGCATGGGAAGTCGCCAGGCACAACCCAGCTCCAGGCTGTTGAATGTGGCAGAGGCTGATCACACGGGGTTCAGGTGTAACCAAAGGGAGCTGGAATCTAAAGGCTCTCTGAACCCTCAGGGGACTCGAGTGTGCCTGTTGGGTTTGTGATGGGTGGGAGGGCAAGGTAACAGAGACCCAAACATACCTGGGCAGGACCAGTCTGGCTAAAGGAAATGGGAGGTCCAGGAGTGGGGAAGGATGAGGGAGGCAAGAGGAGGGCGTGGCAGAGGCTCAGGGGCAGGAGACAGCAACTGTACCCTGCTGAGAGCCCTGGAGGGAGAGGCAGAGGGACTAAAAAGTCATTTTGTTGTTATTATTATTATTTTGGTACTGGGACTGAACCCAGGGGTGCTTAACCACTAAGCCACATCCACAGCCCCCCCCCTCTCTCTCTATATATATATATATATTTTTTTTTTTTATTAGAGAAGGGGTCTTACTGAGTTGCTAAGTGCCTCACTAATCTGCTGAGGCTGCCTTTGAACTCGTGATCCTCCTGCCTCAGCCTCCTAGCTGCTGGGATTACAGGCATGCACCACCGCGTCCAGCTAAAAATGCATTTTAATAGGTGACTATAGTAAAAAGCACAGGAGATTTACTACCTTAGCCATTTTTAGTGAACAGTAATATTAACTCTATGTACCTTGCTGTGTGACAATCTCTAGAACTTGTTCAAATCAGGAAACTCCAGAGCCATTGAACAGCTCCTTCCCCAACTACCTCCCTGCTGACCAGCACTCCTCCACTTTCTAAGAGTTGGGCTGCTGTGGAGACCTCAGAGGACTCACACAATGTGTGTCTTTTTGTGTTCAACTTATTTCCTGGGCATGATGTCCTCCAGGTTCATTCATGTTATAACATGTGACAAGACCTTCTTTTTCAAGGCTGAACAACATTCCATGGTCTGTCTATAACCCATTTTCTTTACTTATGCATCCACAGGTGGACATTTAGATTTCTTCTGCCTCTTGGTTATTGTGACCAGTGCTGCAGTGAACATGGTATGTACATCTCTCTCTGAGGTTGTGCTTTCAATTGTTTTGGAGGTACACCCAGAAGTAGGGATAGCGGGGTCATACATTCATACTATTTTTAATTTTTTAAGGAATCTCCATACTGTTTTCTATAGTGGTTGCACTATTTTATATTCCAACAAACCATGCACATGGGTCCTATTTCTGCACATACTTGCCAACTCTGTTATTTATTTATTTTTTTTGGTACCAGGGATTGAACTCAGGGACACGTGACCACTGAGCCCCATCCCCAGCCCTATTTTGTATTTTATTTAGAGACATGGTCTCACTAAGTTGCCTAGTGCCTCGCTTTTGTTGAATCTGGCTTTGAATTCATGATCCTCCTGGCTCAGCCTCCAGAGCTACTGGGATTGTTTTTTGAGAGTTGCTGGTCTCCTGGGTGAAGGGGCATCTTCCTGTGGATTCCTCCTTCCTTTTTCCCTCCCTCTCTCCCCACCTCCCGCCTCCCTTCCCTCTCCCCTTCCTTTCCTTACATCTTCCTTCCTTCCTTCCTTCTTTCCTTCTTTCCTTCCTTCCTTCCTTCCTTCCTTCCATACAGGAGATTGAACCCAGGGGCACTTTACCACTGAGTGACATCCCCAACCCTTTTTGAGGCACAGTCTTGCTAAGTTGTGAGGTTGGCCTTGAACTTGCCATCCTTCTGTCTCAGCCTCCTGAGCCGCTGGAACTATAGGCATGCACCCTCATGCCTGGCTCTCATTGTGGTTTCAATTCACATTCCCCTAATTAGAACTGATCTTGAGCATCTTTTCATATGCTTGTTTGTCATTTGTATATCTCTTTGGAGAAATATCTATTCAAGCCCTTTCCCATTTTTAATTGAAATTTTTTTCCTGTGTAAGTTGTTGAATTGTAGAAGTTCTTTATATATTCTGAATATTAACTTTTATCACATATTATATCTTTTATCAGATATAATAAGGCTAGCAAATATTGTCTCCTGTTCTGAAGATGCCTTTTTACTGTTCTTTATTTCCTTTGCTGCACAGAAGTTTTTAACGTAGATGTAGTCCTCTTTGTCCTCTTTGTATATTTTAAAATTTGTTGCCTGTGGTTGATAGCACATATAAGAAATAATTGCTAAACCCAATGTTGTGAAGGTTTGCCCTTATATTTTCTTTAGGGAGTCCTATAATTTCAGGTCATGTTAGGTTTAGATATGAGGTGTCCCCCAAACATGCCTCTCATGTGTGAGACAATGCAAGAAAGTTTAGAGGTGAAGTGCCTGGGTTACGAGAGTCTTGACATATTGGTGCATTAATCTGCTGTTAGGGGTTAACTGAGGGGTCATGGTTGTGGCTGGAGGAGGTGGGTCCCTGGGGTGTGCTTTGGAATTATATTTTGTCCCTGGTGAGTGGAGCTCTCTCTCTGCTGCCCGATTGTCATATCCTGGGCCACTTCCTTCCATCACACTCTTCTGCCATGATGTCCTGCCTCATCTGGGGCCCAGAGTAATGGATTTGGCCACCTATAGATTGAGACCTCTGAAACTATGAGCCCCAAATAAATTTTTCCTCCTCTAGTTGTTCTTGTCAGGTCTTTTGGTCATAGCAGCAAAAAAGCCGACTAAACAGGTCTTTATTCCATTTTGAGTTAGTGTTTATGTGTGATGTGAGGTAAGGGGCCCATTTCATTCTTTTGCATGTGGATATCCTGTTTTCCTAATACTGTTTGCTGAAGAGACTGTCCTTTCCCATTGTGTGGCTTTGGTACCCTTGTCAAAGGTCCTCTGACCACACACATAAGGGTTCATTTCTGTGTTCTTTGTCCTGTTTCAGTAGTATGTGTGTGTGCGTGTGTGTGTGTGTGTGTGTGTCTTTATGCCAGTGTCATACTGTTTTGATTACTGTAGTTTTGTGATAATGTTTTGAAATCAGGAAGTATAAGGCCTCCAGCTGTTTCTTTTCTTTTCTTTTCTTTTCTTTTTTTAACTCAAGATGAATCCACTGAAAGACAAATTAGGAAAACTACCCCATCCGCAATAGCCTCAAAAACCAAAAAAAAAAATTGGAATCAATGTAACAAAAGAGGTGAAAGACCTCTACAATGAAATCTACAGAACACTAAAGAAAGAAATTGAAGAAGACCTTGGAAGATGGAAAGACTTCCCATGTTCTTAGAGAGGCAGAATTAATATTGTCAAAATGGCCAACCATCAAAAACAACATACAGATTGAATGCAATCCCCATGAACATACCAAAAACATGCTTCAAAGAACTAGAAAAAAAAGTACTTGAATTCAACTGGAAGAATAGGAGACCCAGGATTGCCTGAAAACCTGAGCAAGAAGAGAAATTAGGAATGCAGGAAGCATCCCAACACTGTCATCTCAAAATAAACATGAAGAACAATGGAGAATAGAAGACACAGAGACAGACCCACACCTACTTACAGTCACCTGATACTTGACAAGGTGACAAAATTTATGTTGGAGAAAAGAGCCTTTTAAACAAAGGGTGCAGGGAAAACTGGAAAGCCATACGTTGGATTAAACTAGATCCCTATCTCTCACCCTGCACAAAAGTCAAATCAAGACGGATCAAAGACTTAGGAATTAGAACAGAAACCTTGCAACTGCTAGAAGAAAACATAGGGTCACTATGACAACATATTGATGTAGGCACCAACTTCTTTAAAAAAAATAAACAAACCTTGAAACTCAAGAAATAAAACCAAGAATCAATAAGTGGGATGCCATCAAATTAAAAAGCTTCTGCCCAGGAAAGGAGATGATTATGAGTGTGAAGAGAGAGCCTACAGGATGGGAGAAAATCCCTGCCAGCTACTCTTCTGGCATGGGATTAATATTCAGAATATATACAGAACTAAAAAAGCTTAACATACTACTACTACTACTACTACTTCTTTTACTACTACTAGTACCACCTAATCAATAAACGGACAAAAGAAATTAACAGAAATTTCTTAAAAGCAATGAATGTATAAGAAATATATGAAAAAATGTTCAATATCTCCAGCAATCAGAGAAATGCAAATCAAAATTACACTAAGATTTCACCTCACTTCAGTCAGAATGGCAATGATCAAAAAATTCAAATAATAATAACTGCTGGTAAGGATGTAAGGAAAAAAGTATACTTGTACATTTCTTGTACAATTGCAAATTAGTACAGCCACTATGGAAAACAGTGTGGAGGTTCCTCAAAAAACTAGGACTGGAATCACCATATGACCCAGCTACCCGACTCCTCAGTATTTACCCAAAAGAACTAAAATCAACCTGCTATAGTGATACAGGCACACTAATATTTATAACATTGCAATTTATAATAGCCAAATTATGGAATTAGCCCAGGTGCCTGTCAACAGATAAATGAATGGATAAAGAAAATGTAGTATATATGCACAATGGAGTATTGTTCAGCCATAAATAAGAATGAATTTATGGTATTTGCTGGTAAATTAATGGATATGGAGAATATCATGCTAAGTGAAATAAACCAGACTCAGAAAATCAGAGATCAAATGTTTTCTCTCATATGTGAAAGCTAAAGCAAAATAAAGGGGAAAAGTGTGTGTGGGGGGCCAGATATCAGGAAAATATGGGGAAGATCAGTGCAGTAGGAGGAGGTGATCAAGAGGGAGAGAAGAGGAATGGGAAAGGGGAGGAAATGTGAAAAAATTACCCTATGAGCACATATAAATATACCACAGTGATTTCCACCTTTATGTATATGTGTAAAGCACCAATCAAAATAAATAAATGAATGAGTTAAAGGAAGATCAGCAGAGTAGAGGAAGAAGAATAGGGGAAGGGAGAAGGGAAGGGAAATTTGTGGTCGGGGTTGTGGGGATCAGGTACTGAAATGGAGTCAATCAAATTCTATGCATGTATGATTTTGTCAGATGAACTAAACTATTATGGATGACTATCACACTCTACTAAAATAAATTTTAAAAATAAAATGTATTGGGGATGTAGCTTGGTGATAAAGTGTCCCTGGATTTATCTGGACTATGCTGAGTCCTTTAAGATTCCATATGAATGACTGAACTTTTTTGCTTGCTTGTTTGATTTTGCAAAAAAATACCACTGGGATTTTGGTAAAGGTTTCATTGAACCTGCAGATTGCTTTGGGTAGTATGAACATTTAATCCATGAATATGGGATGGCTTCCCATTATCTATGGCTTAATTTCTTTCAGTAGCATTTTGTAATTTTTTAAAGTGTATCAGTCTTTTTGCCTTCTTGGTTAACTCCTGAGTATTTTATTTTATTTTTTCTGATGCTATTGTAATTGGCTTATTTTCTTAACTTCATTCTCTGATTATTCACTGCTAGTCTGTAGAGACACAATTGATTTCTTTATATCATGTAACTTTGCTGGATTTGTTTATTAGGACTCAGGTTTGGGGTGGACTTTAGGGTTTTTTACAAAGATCAGGTCATTCGTGAGCAGAGATTATTTTACTTTTTACTTCCTTTCCGGTTGGGTACATTTTAACCCCTTCCCTTGCCTAACTTCTCTGACCAGGACTTCCAGTTCTATTTTGAATAAAAGTGGCAAACCAAGCCAACCTTTTCTTGTTCTCGATTTTAGGAAGAATGTTTCAGTTTTTCAACCGAATTTAATGTTAGTTTGGCTTTTCATATGTGGCTGTTCTTTATGTTGTAATTTCTTCCTGTTCCTACCTTATTTTGTGTTTTTATCATGAAAAAATGTTGCATTTTACAAATCCTTTTTCCTGCACCAACCGAGATAAGCATGTGCTCTTTGGTCTTTCGTTCTGTTAGTGTCGTGCATTATACTGACTGACTCCTATGCTGAACCATCCTTGTATTTCAAGAATCGATCCCACTTGGTCATGCTCTAGTATCTGTTTATATGTTGTTGATTTTGTTTGCAGTATTTTTTGAGGATTTCTGCATCAATCCATCGGGAACACTGGTCTGTCGTTTTCTTGTGGTGTCTTTTTCGGATCTTGGTATTGGGGTAATTCTGGTGTCATAAAATGAGTTTGGATTGATTCTTCCTTCACACTTGTCTGAAGGACTTTGAGAAGGATCAGTGTTCATTCTCTTTACATGTTTGGTCCTGGTCATGGACTTTCTTTATTGGGAGGTTTGGATTACTGATTCAATCTCCTTACTAGATATAAATCTGTTCAGATGTTTTATTTCTTCATGGTTCAGAGTCGGCAGGTTGTTCAGAATGAATTTTATAGGGAGAATCTGCAAGATTTACTTATGGGTTGGAAAATGAGGGAAAGAGAGTAACAGGTGATGATCTTCTTTACATGATGATACAAGAACTGGGTAAAGATTGGGGTAGAAATAGGAAACTCAGGAGTTGGGCATTAGAAATTTTAGATTAAAAGATGCCCAGACAGAGATGTTTAGTGGATAGCTACAGACCCAGAGCCCAGAGGCATCCAAGCTGGAGTGGAGGGACAAGTGACAGAGCACACTCAGCGTGGGGAAGGTGTAGCAGCTGAGGCAGGCACCGTCTCCACAAGGACCTGAAATGCCCTCCTAGGAGCAGATTCTGGTGACAGGCTTTCAAATTTGGGTGTTATTCTCTATGAAGTAAAATTACAGGAAGGTTTTTCCCCCCCCCCTTTTGAAAGGCAGGGTTGTTTGTTCATAGCTATTTATTTCTAATTTCAAAAATAATATATTTCCACCGTAAAAACACATAAAAATTAAGAATGAATAAAATAATAAGCATAATCCATAATTACAACCATCCACTTATAATTAGCACTAGTACTATGCCCTATTTCCTTCCAAGAATTTTTTCTTTTCATTTGCATTACTTTGCATATATTGCAAAACTAAAATTATACTATACAAAGTAATTCTATATCCTATTTTTTCACTTAATATTTTTTCACAAATATTTGGCTATATGATCAAAAATCTCTATAAAGATAATTTTAATAGCAATTATATATTGGATGAATGTAATCTGTTTGACATTCAATTGGATATGCAGGCAGTGTTCCCTCTCTCTATAATATTATAGCCTATGATAAATATTCCTATGTACATATCTTTGCTCCAGTTCTCAAATGGAGAATTTGGGGATGAAAAGACACAAATATTTTAAAGAATTTTAATATTATTGGAAAATTGTTTTTTGAAAGGATAAACCTATTTATTAGACTCCTAGGGAATATGCCTGGTCATTCCCTGCACCCTTCTAATTATTGAGAAATATAGCTTCCAAAATATTTACTAATTTAATAGATGAAAAAGGATATGTCGTGGCTGGGGTTGTGGCTCAGTGGTAGAGCATTTGCCTAGCATGTGTGAGGTGCTGGGTTCAATTGTTAGCACCACATACAAATAAATAAAATAATGGCCATCAACAACTAAAAAAAGGAGGGGGGAGACATGTCATTGAGATTTTCTTAACTCTCTTCATGAAATTGTGAGGCAGAAACCAGAATCTCACAAAAATTCCATTCCATTAAATCCAAACCATGCCAATGAAGTGTTCAACTTTACTATCAAAATCAAGAACATGAGTTAACTCACAAACTATGAATACAGTTGTTTGTTTGATCATTTTTGGTACCAGTATTGAACCCAGAGGTGCATGAATACATTTCTCCAAAATGACAGGAAAGTCCTCATTCCTGGTGGTGCAAGGGGGGATCCGAGCTACAGAGGGCAGCCCAAGTCACAGGGTATGCTGGAGTCCCTAAGGACTAGCCTCTGCTCTAGGTGGAAGGAAACACTAACATGGGGAATTCCAGCAAGTTCCAGTCCTCCCTTCTCCCTTCCAGTGAGGAAGAGCTGAACTATAACCCTAAGCCACTCTTCGGTGGAAAAGACCCCTGGGAACAGACTTTTTCAGCCTCCAGCCTCATAAAGGAACTGCTTGGGCACAAGTGTTTGGAGCTCAACCACCACGAGTCCCCTTCCTTCTCACAGTGAGTGTTAGTCTCGATACCGGACAACTGGGATCCAGTGCGTCTGTGTTTCCCCTGGGCGAAGCCCCCTCATGGTCTGGGCTGGGCTGTTCTCTGTGGAAGAGAGCGCACAGAGATCCCTGAGCATGTAGAGGGGATGGCAGGTGCGCACACCCAGGTACCTCCAGGTCTTAGTTCAGGCTCAGGACTGTGGCCTTCTAAGTCTGATAAACCTGATTGACCTTGCTAATGTGCCCACAGAGGCGGAATTTTTGCCTCTGGGGAGTGAACTTTCATTGGCTAAGCACAAAGAGAGTTGACATACTAGAATTCCAGTTATTACTGGAATAATGACTTTTACAAACAAGTGTTTTTACAGGAGAAACCAAATGATCACCGGAGAGATGGGCAGGACTCGAGGCTTGAAGCAGTCATGGAGGTGGGACTTCTCCTCCAAGGGTTGTGCCCAGTGCCTGGGCTACTGTCTGTCTGCAGCTTATTTCTTGTCACTCCTCTGGCTCCGCTCAACTGTCCCCATTCAGAGAAGCCTCCACTGCTCCCACTACAGGTCTTCCCACCTCACCACAGCCTGGACCTCATTACACCCTGCACTTTCATTTAAGCTCTTACCACAGTTTTAATTAACTATTTGTAGGCTGTCTTTTTTGCTATTATTATTTTTTACTGTTTCCCAGGTCAGTGAGAGCGGGAGCCACATCTGCTTCGTGCATGGCGAGCCCTGTACACTGTGGACACCGGGCCTTATGGGAGGAAGAGGAGGCAGAAGGGGAATGAAGAGGAACATGGCAACCGCTTGCCACTGTGGAGCAGCCTTGCCGATGGGACAAGATCCTCTATCCTCCTGATAGTGCCCTGAACGGGCTTGTTGCAGGAGTCGGCCCTGCTGACTCGGTCCCTTGTCCCTCCCTGCCTGCTGACCACTTCCCCCACCCCTTCCACAGACGGGAACTCCTCTGATGGCCAGTCTGATCACACAGGCCCACCCGCCTTTCTCTCTGCTGATGTGGCTTTGCATACCGCTAGTCTGACCTAGTCTGGGGCATTTGTAACTTAAATCTCAGAGGGCAGTCGTACACCCAAGGGCGTGGGGGTCACCACACTGTCAACCCCTGTAATTGTCACACTATTGCCCGGGCCTAAGGACAGGGCACTCTAGGACGCCCAGCAGTCAGGACAAATCAGACCACCGTGTGCGCGTGGCTAAGGCCTGTTCATACTTCACAAAACCAGAAGCTACAGAATGACATTCTTACCTGCCTTGGCTATTTTCTCAAAATATGATTTTGATTTTGATAATTAAAAACAGAACACACCCTGGCCTAGAAGGCTGGGAGGAATTCTTGACGGCTCTGACCCAGGCTCTGACCCTGCAGGGCCACCTGTTCCAGTGCTGGCTTCTGTTGAACCAGGGGCTGGACCAGATCTTGATATTTCATGCATGATTATCTCACCCAAGAGCCTCCCCCAACTTCATAAGCACCCCACAGACCAGCCTGGCTTCTGGAAACGACCACCACACACACAGAGTCGGGGCAAAGCATCTCCACGGGGACTAGTCGTGGAGACAGCTCAGGACTGTGACGACTGCAGATGCCATTGGGACAGGGGTGGGGTGGGGAACAAGCTGACATTTGTCCTTGGACCTGTCGCAAGGAAAAGCAGATTCTCTACCACCAGAGCTACTGGACACTGGGGTTCATGCCTGGAGGACTGAGGGGCCCAGGGAAGCTGGGTGCCTGGCACCATGGTACCCTCTTCTGGTGCTGTAACCCAGACCCAGGTGTTTATGGAAACTATCTCCCGTGTGTTCAACAGTCAATCACTATGAGAAAATGTACCCGTAAGCTGAGACCTTCACAAGCCTGGCAGGAAGCACTTGCCTTCTCTGTTTTTGGTATTTGGAGTTCAGCTCCTTTCACCTGAGCGCCTCCACAGGCAGCAGTGCACAACTCCCTTACTCATGTTAAATTATGCTCTCAAATGGGCCATCAGCGACAGTCCAAACTCACTCATTATCATCTGTTTACAAACCAAAACCAGCCTCAGTTTTAATTAGCTGGTCTGCCTCGTTCAAAGTCATGCTCACTTTAAACAGTCTACACACTCTGCTCAGGGAATGGGCGTCTCTGACGAGGCCCTTCCCATCTGAAGGGAAATTACCAAGAATCAAGACGGCCCCCAGGGCTGCACACCGGGGACAGACTTGCTCTGCCACAGCAGCCGTGCGTAGATGGCGCACAAACGCGTGATTTCCACAGGCTTCCGGGTACTAGTCCAAACAGGAGGCTTATAGAACAGAGGCCTGGAGAGTTAACTGAGGTGGCCTGGGACGTCGTGCTCCTACCTCGAGTAGTAAGACTCCACCCCCAGGGCCTCGCGGACGCTGGCGATGTGCTGCTCCAGGGCCGAGCTGGCTGCCGTTGGGAGCGCTGCACTGCTGCTGGCCTGGAAGTCGCTGGAGTTTTCCACGGTGCTGTCACCCAGGTAGTGCTCATGGAACTTCAGAATTCCTGAAACCAGACAGGCATAGCCAACATCACAGGGGGTTGGGCTGGCTGGAGAGAGGGGCCGAGGGCAGGGCTGGGAGTGCCGAGGCTACGTGACTTCTTGGTAAAGCGCCCCAGAGGTCCTCCTGAGCCCAGGTCAGTGCCCCTTTCCATAGCTTTTGCCATCAGGGGTGGTGCCTGATGACAGGGAATCAAGATGCAGCCTTTGCTGCTGATGACACATTCAGAAGCTCCTGGGTAATTAGACTACTCCCTATGTTTTTCCAAACTCCTGCTTCGCAGAATCACCAGCTAGGGAAGGCCTGCTCTTGGGGTCTGTGCATGACCGTGCCCAGGTAGGTTCTCTGTGGAGGCTGAAATCCTGAACAAACAGGTAATTAGCCAAGTGGAAATTGTGTCACAAAAACCTTTCATATCACAAAAGCAAATAAAAATAAACATACAGTATAAAGGTCAAATAAAAACACCCTTTTAAAAATAAGACTAACTGGTCAGTGGTCGTTAATGGATTAAAGGTGCAAAAAATGATGTCTCCATGAAACCAAAGCCATCCACGCTGGTTTTCTGGCAATAAACATGGGGCAGATTCTCAAGTGGTAATGAGCTGTGTCAGCCCTGGAAAACGCCAGTCCTCTCTGATTGGATTAGAGCCCCCCAGTGAAAGCTTCGGAGTGTCATTAAGAGCAAAGAGGAATGAAAAGGGAAACAATAGGGGCCTCATTACACACGGCTCATTATTACAGGGATCTGGATATGCCACCTGTCAAATCATGTCCCCAAGACGTAACAACCACAGAGAGAAAGAGCTTGATACCCGCCAGTTATCAGCCTCCTCCTCAGGAGCACCAGTGCCTTCTGGGAGTGGGGACATTTGGGGATGCCGCTGTGGCTGACACTCGTTCACCAGGTCACTCCGAAAATGGTAACTTAAAACTTTTAGCATAGAAAGGTCAGGGGCAAGGGCGTTCTTTGTGGGAAGCCCATAAGAACATGGATTTGGAGGGGAAAGATTGCAACAATAAAAGCGAGACAACTGAACACCGAGGCGCCAGGGCGCAGGACCAAAGAGCAGCTGGGAGCTGTCATCCAGCACCATTTTTTTCTTTTTTTAAATCAAAGGGAAAGAAACATATTCAAGAAAATCTTGTCAATTCTCACTGGCAGTTGAACTTTTTACAGACATTCAAGAAGCCCATTCTTCAAGATTCCCAATTATAAGATCCACTTCCCCAGTCAATAAACTCTAATTGGATCTGGTCTGTCTCCAACGCGGTAAAGCCATCAGCATTTTATTATGCAAAAAATATGGCCTTAACAGCCAATTAGTGGTTCTGTATTCAGCGAAACTGTTACATCCTGAACGTTTAATGCCGATTTAATCAAAGGGGATTTTTACCCCTAAAATAGATTTTTCAACAAAACTGGTAAAAAAGGGGGTTCTGTTAAACCCAGAAATTTCAAGCTGGAGACTTATAAACTGAGGGTTGCCATTATCATTTTAGTCTAAATTTGCCATGACAAAGGACCACAATTATCAAATCATATCTAGAAAGAACTCATTAGGAGTGGCCGTCTCCTTATTAGTTAATGAGCAGCAGCTGCCTAAGAGTAGGGTGGCTACTGAAATGCCACCTCTTCCTCCTGCTCTTCCCTGACAAGTGCCTCCTGACTCACTGTGAGGGCCACGGTTTCTTGGTAGAGGGGGAAAGCTGAATGTCTTATTAATTGGATGTCCCACTATGGAATATCCACGGTGGCAGTTTTACTGGAACCTGACAATGGCTCCTTCATCTAGTCTTTCCCCTTTCACGATTTTTCTTCTCGGGGCTGGTGTTTCTGTTGCCTGATGTTGGGGTTTAAGTGTGAGGTGTCCTCAAGGCTCATGTGTGACGCAATGCAAGAACGTTCACAGGTGAGATGCGTAGATGAGGAGAGCTGTCGTCTAAGCAGTGGATTAATCCACTGATATGGATTGGCTGGGCTGGACTGTGAACAAGGAGGGTGTGGCTGGAGGAGGTGGGTCTCTGGGGTTTGTATTTTGTCCTTTGTCCCTGTCAGGGGCGCTCTTTCTCTGCTTCCTTGTGGCCACGTCCTGGGCAGCTTTCATCCGCCAGGATGCCCTGCCCCACCTTGGGCCCAGAGCCATGAAGTCAGCCCACTGTGGACCTGACCCCTGAAACCCTGAGCACAAACCAGCCTTTCCTCCCCTGTGTTGTTCTGGTCGGGTCTTTTGATCACAGGCATGACAAAGCTGACGCCTGGTCCCCAAGGGCAGCAACCTCACCTGCCCCTGGAGCCAGCAGCCAGCTGTACAGGTAGCCGGCCGCCAGCGAGTAGTAGAGCACCAGTCCCCTCTGGCTGTTGACCATCTCCAGGATCTGGTCGATGGTGACTGGGGAGTAGGGGTCCGAGTCCTGCTGTCCTGTCTGTCGCTCCACCAGAAGATCAGCAAATGCCCTTGTCCGACCTCTTTCTGCTACAGCCAGGGCTTCATCGTGGTGGCCTAAGAGACAAAGGGACAGGCTGAGTGCTCCGTGGTGAGTAAGCCCCCTCAAGGACAACTGGCATCTGGGTTAGATTGTAGGCAGAAACGCCACTACCTCTGCTCCCCTAGAGTGACAGACTGCAGAGTCCGTTTCTGCCTCTGATCACCAGTAGGGGCAGGGTGCACACAAAGAATCCTGTTCTGTGATTCAACAAGACCTATTTCATGTCACCGTAAGTCACTGGGCCTTCCTGTCTTGCAGCCACACAACAGTCCCCGCAGCTGGGAGCATGGCCCCTCTGCTCCTCATCCCGGGAGGCTCCCTGACCTTGCCCCCAGCACCCCCACCTCACCAGCTTCCCTCCTCCACCTGCATCTGATCTGCAGGACCCACCTCTGGCTCCTCTCTCCTAGATGTGGCCCCTTCGTGCATCACATCATCCAGCCCCCCCTCCCAAGTCCCCCAATGACACCTCCATGCCTATACTGTGCCTGTCCTCTGCTGGGTGCCCTTTCCCTTTTCACCGCGCTTGTCTCAAAAAGAGGGATTGCACTAGTTGTCCCACCTCTCTCAAAGGACTACTTTCAAAATCAAGCGAGGTGCTCTGTGTGAAGGTGTTCCTGAAGCACCACCTGTATGACAAGTGGCACCTGTACGACAAGTGGCACTGTTAATATTAAAGCTGACACTTTATTCCACGCTGGCTCCGGCACGCTTCCCTCTCATCTTCTCTCTTCCAGTCCCCCTGGGCAAAGGGCTTCAACCTCTGAGGTCTCTATTGCTTTAAAATTGCTTCTTTCAAGCTTTCCTCCAGTCTTTCAACCCAACTTCTCATCCACTTCCTGCAGGAAGCTAGTCTATAATGTGGCCTCAAAGCTGATTCATGGATGTGAAGCCTCAAAAAATGCAGAGCCCTCTGCCTTCCAGGGGGGCTTATTTGTAAGTAGGCAGCGCAATGCAGAGGACGGATCTCAGGGTAAATATGAGCATGGAAGAGCTGCTAGAGCCAGGTCCATGGAGAGAGCATGCAGAGGCAGGGGACCAGACGCCACAGCTGCGGTGGCACAACAAGAATGCCTTGCTGCCCACCATTCAGGCATTGGCACAAAGTGGGCATTCACGGGAGTGTGTTCAAATGTATCTTTTACCCTATTAAGTTACCAATGGGAACAGCTGGGACAGCTCCTGTGCACGCTGGAAAATCAGTCCCATGGTGCTGGACAGACTCAGCACTGTGACTCTAATAGATAGTAAATTATAATCCTGGGCAATGAGTATTTAACTTTTCAAGGGGAAACTTGAGTGTTCCTACACACAGGAAAGGGCAGGTTACTGAGAAGTCCCCAACATTCAACTTCAAAGACTGTTAGTTTCAGTGAATATCTTTTGGGAAGAGGCAGGTGACTGAGGAGTTGGAAGGGGACAGTTAAGGCTTGGATGAGAGGAACTGCAGGCTGCACCAGTGCCCCAGATCATGCAGGCCCGAGAGAACGAGCCCCAACCGTGAACGTCACAGCCCAGAGGACAGGTCAAGAGGGCACACTCCCTGAACAGCGTCGGGGAGGCTATGTGCTGGGGAAACGGAAGACACCTGTGTCTTCTCAGGTGCTTCCCCTTGGTCAGAGGCTTGAGCCAGGTGGGGTGAAGAAGGGAAGGAACGTGAGGGTCAGGGACTCCTGGCCCAGGCATCTGTCTCAGGGACACCTGCTCAGGCTCCCAGGACTGCTATACTTCCCAGTACCAGAGTTTCTCTACTTTAGCACAAACACTGGGTGCTGGACTTAGTGACTTAGATGGCTGGATATCCTGGGAGCCTCTGAACTATTATCCCCAGGGCTGGCACTGGCATGCACACAGTAGGTGCTCTATCAGTCTTTGTCAAATAAAGGAACGAGTGTTCAACTGCTGATTGTGCCTTCAGAGTCCGTTGTGACAACAAATCACACTGCATCAGAGCTGTGGTGGACACCCTGGGGACAGCGAGCACACAACAACCACTCTCACCAAGGCTGACGAGCACCCGCTGCAAGGCCTGGTAGGACGACGTCTGCAGGTCGAAGAGCGAGAGTCTGCAGTCGGTGCTCAGCTGCGCCTCGTGCCGGATGGTCTCGAACAAGGCCGATGCCCTGTAGAGCTGCAACGGGGAGAAGGTCGTCACCCACCTCCCAGAGCCAGGCCAGCTCTTGCCAGAGTACAGATGACTCCTGCTAACACCTGGTACCACCCACGTGTTCTTAAAGGTTTGAAAAGAATCTATTTCCAGGGAGGCCACTGTGGGCTGAAGAAGTGTCACCCTGTCTCCAGTAAATCATAGCTTATGGAATCAACTTTGGTCAAGAGATCTAAACACAGGGTTATAGACATCAGGTCCAGAGGAAGTTAAGAAAAAAATATTAATCCAAACAAATGCTAATTTTGATTAAAACAAAAGTTCTCTTCTTGTCATCAGGCAACCATGATCCATGGTCCCCAGGAAAAGGGTGCGTAAGGATGGGAATGGGCCCATGTGGTGGAGGCACCCTGGAGATGGATGAGGCCAGGGCAAGGGCAGAGGCGCCACACTCTCAGGACAGTGGCAGCCTCTGCAGGTGGTTCAATGCCGCAGACCCAATCACTCCCCACCCTCCCCAGGGTCAGGACCATGCTGGACAAGCTCCCTAAGGGGCCACGCCCACTGGCACAAACCCTTTGAGGACCGCCCTCGCCTACTGGAATGGACCCCTTGAGGACCGCCCTCGCCCACTCGCATGAGCACTCTGAGGACCAGACAATTGGCATTCTTAATGGAGATCCTGTCCTGTTGTTTCTCCAAACCTAAAGAAGCGCATTCTAACACTAAGAGCCCTACACCAGGAGAGCGCTCAGCAAGGACTGTGCTACTGACTGCTGTGTGACTTGGCGAGACTCAGGGCGACAGCTCCCTATTTGTGAAGGGAACAATCATCCTTCGACTTCATGGGTATTTTGAAGAAAAAATTCAGTGAGCAAAAGTACTTTGAAAATAGTAAATCACTCCATCAATATAAATTTTAACTTTTGCAGCCACAAAATTAGAGTTAATTCTTTAAATTGCCTTTAATAGTTTAAAAGTATAATAAAAATGCCTTAATATTCCAGGAGATGATGGCACGTCCTCGGTGCTTCGAGCACCAGGGAGGAGCCTTGATTGACTTCTCCTCCTTCCCCTTGGCTAAGGGGCGAGTGGTGACCTGAGAAGCAGCCATCTCTCTCCTGCTCCAACCTAACAGAGGAAGCCGTAACTCTAGGGATCTTTCTACTCTCCAGAGATGCATGTCAAGGAACTGCTCTTCAACTGTCTGCACTCACACAGGGGCATGGACTCACCATGGGAGAGAAGTAATATCTTGCTATAACTGGAGACTTAGAAAGACATTAAATCCAATAATCGTGAATTCTTGTTTTGCTTCTATTAAAGTTTAATGTGGAGCAGCAGCACATAATATAAGAATTCCAAAAAAATGACTAGGTCACCTGTCATGTGAGTGAGCAAGGGTCTTCCCTGTGTGAAGTGTCAACACCTCTGGGCTGGCACGGGCTGGGAACCCTGTGCATTGACTCAAGGCATGAGTCGGTATCTGGTGCATTCCACCTCGGCCATCCCTCCCACGCTTCTGGCCATGAACTCCCTGGGGTCAGGGTTCTCTTGCTCACCTGGTGTTGGGCCTCCTCCAGGTTTCCACTAGCCCAAAGGGAGAGGCCTAGACCATGGCGAATTTTTGCCTCATCTTCTCTTCGGCCCAGTTGCTCAGCTAACCTTAAACCTGAAACCAGATAGAAAAATTTAAAGATTCAGAGAAGACAGATAGTTCCACCCCTCATCGAGTCCTGGCAGGTGACTTTGCTTCAGGGGTAAAGAACGCTAACAGCACAGTAGAGGGGGAATGAGACAAGAGCTCTCTTCAAATGCCACGTTGGTGGCACAGTTTCCAGGACACTCAGAGGAGGCCCAGCAAGAGCTCAGGTGATGCTGTGAGCAGCAGACAGGTTTGCTGGGCGGGCAGAAATGGAAACAAATGGAACCTGAACCCGGCGCCCTCCCAGATGCGAACCCGGAGCTTTGCACTTGGAGACTACTGGCTGAGGAATTTATCTTGTCCGATTCTCTGGCTGGCAAAAGATTTTCCTGAGAGTAAAGCGCAGAATCCACGGTAATACTTCTTCTCGTGTCGCCGCACAGCATCGAGTGGGCGCTGAGGGAGGCATGCAATGTTCTCCTGAAAGCAGAACGGGATCTGGCCTGCCCCTGCAGCTGCTGAGACGGCACGTTCCATGTCTACTCTGTTTCCTGAGACTCTGAGCCTTTGATGTGCTTCCGTGGGGTTGCAAAACCAGCACTCATGTCAAAAGACTTAATTGAGACTGTCCTCATTTTAATGGCCTCAGATAGGCCCCTGCAGTCTGGTTCACTTACCCACAGCAAGCTTCTGGGTTTCAGGACACCAGCAGCCTGTGGGGCCTTGTGGGAGTCCAATCTAAAGGCAGCTACTTACTGTATCGGTCACTAAGCCATTCTCAGTGTCACTCTGCCCTCATTCTCCTGCTCCCGGTACAGAGCGGCTGGCTTGTGAGGAAGACAGCATGGGGGTCCCCAGCCTGCTGCACACAAAAATCAGGGCTTCCCCTGGTCTATGTCAGAGGTGGCGCTGCCTCTGCACACACCAACCTGTCACTTGTCAGCTGCTGGAGAGGGGCTGAGCTGGAGGAGAGGCCCTGATAAAAGGGACTCTCCGGTGAGGCTCATAGAAATACATATTTCAAATGCACATTATCTTATATTTTGGGGTGGGGTGGAGACTGGGGATTGAACCCAAAAGCATTTTACCACGGAGCCCCATCCCCAGCCATTTTTATTTATTTAGAGACAGGGTCTCACTGAGTTGCTCAGGGCCTTGCTAAATTGCTAAGGCTGGCCTTAAACTTGTAATCCTCCTGCCTCAGCCTCCCACATTGCTGGGATTACAGGCACGAGCCACCATGCCCAGCAACTCATATTTTTAAACACCTCACAAAAAGGAAACACATGTGGAAAAAAGATGTTTCTTGAGAGAAAACCAGGAGGATACTGATTGTTTTAACTTTCAACAAGCTGCCAGGTTGGTTCTCCAGTTTGATGTCCCTGCCAGGTGTGGGTGTGAGTCAAGTAAACTGCCTGGGGAAGCCAAATTAGAAGGCATGTTTGGTGAGAACAGGAGCTTTGCTTGGTTCCTGTTGTAGCCCAGCACCTAGGACACCTAACTAGCATCAGGCAGTGCTCTATGACAAACAGCTAAAAGCCCATTGGACAGCCAAGTGCATGGTGCACACGGGCAATTCCAGCAGGAGGATCGCAAATTCAAGGCCATCCTGGGCAACTCAAACCCTGTGTCAAAATAAAATTTGCAAAGGGCTGAAGGTACATCTCAGTGGCAGAGCACTTGTCCAGCATGTGTGAAGCCCTGGGTTCAATTCCCAGAATTGTAAAAAACCAACACAACCCCCTCCCAGACATGGTGAGTGGCCTGCCCAGCTCCTATGTGCATCTGCTGTTCAGGAGGCTGAACTGCCCACACAGCTCCCCGGGGTGGAGCGCCAGAGACTGGCGGCATAACCCCAAGTAAATCACCAAACTGCCCAGTCTCCCTTTCTTCATCTGCAAGATGAGAAACCAGAGGCTCTATCCAGAGGCATCCATCCGCACCACCTGGGGAGCTTGTTCAGCTGACTTAGACCCAGCCTCACTGGGAGATGCCAATGCGGGGGAAGGGCGATGCTGATCTGCAGCCCCCTCCCCTCTGAAGGCCAGGAGAAAGCACTGGGGTATTTTCCAGCTGAACTGTCCCCTCAGTGCAAGAGGCTGCAGACCAATCTTGGAGCACACAAGAGCACTTTGCAGGGGCCTGCACCTGTATCGGCCCGACCCTGTGAGCAGGGCATGGAGGGCTGCTCTGGCTGCGAGCTCAACGTAAGGCAGACACCACGAGAGGCTACAAACACGAGTCTTCAGGTCTCCATGAGACTCAGGAATTGCAAGAAGTAGTAAAAAAGGAGCTGGCAGTTTTCCCTGGTGATGGTGTGGTGTGGTGTTTCGGGCAGCCAGCTGTGGCACTGAAACAGTATTTCAGGAAGGTCTGGAGAACACAGCTGAGAAGTTGTCAGATGCTGGGTCTCAATTTAATAGTTTTCACAAATTCAACTGAAAATTGTCCCTAGACTGTTGGAATTTCACCAGTCAAGTGGCTCCGGAAGCCAGAAGCCATTGTTCATATTGAATGCACCAAGGCATGGCCCCATCTGCAGGGAGTGGGAGCTAAATAAGGCCTGGACAGAGGCTTGCAGTCCCCCAGGACCCTCAGCCTGCAGCCAGCGGGCCCATCTGTGCAAGAACAGGGAGCCCCTCCCTCGCCCTCCACTCGGCCCCTGCTTCTCTCCCGGTCCCCAGCTGGGGCTCAGCACTAGCCAGGACAGCACCGCCCCAACCCTGCACTGCTCTCTGCGGTTGGAAATGGCCCCCCACAGGGTCTTGTTTGGTTCCTGGGGTGAGAAAACCCAGAGCCCCACTCTGCAACTAACCAGCTGCATGGTCAGGAAACAAAGACCCTAACCCCGAGCCTCAGGTGACTTAGCTGCAACCTTCAAGGTTGCGAGGATTAAATCAGATTAAATAAACTACCTGTGCAAAACCTTTTGGAAACTATAAATAAGAGGTTTCATAGGAAAACAGCAGTCATTTCCTTTCACTAGTGAGTGTGGGGCATCGCCTCTGCCCTCTCCTGTCCAGGCTCAGAGGAGCCCAGTGTCTGTGGGAGGACCTCAAAGCAGAGGCCACCCAGGGTAAACAGGGGGAGGGCAGACCCTGCAGTGGGGCTTCTGCTCTGGAGAAAAGGAGGCATCCAAGGACCCACTGTGCTCAGCAAATGGAGGGAACCTGAAGGCAGAGGAGGAGGAGAAGCAGCCAGTTCACAGGGGAACCCGGAACAGAGCCCCGCCACGCGGCAGCCCAGCACTGCAGGCCCAGGAGGAAAGCTGGCTGAGGGCTCTGGCGACACTCGGGAGGATGCTCAGGTTGGGCCTCAGTCGCCGGCTCAGAGCTGATGACTACACAGCCGTGGTACAGGTCAGGTATTTCCTAGGGGACAACAGGATTTGAGGCACACGGGCTTCCCTCTGACAGACCATCAGTTAGCGGTGACCGGGTCTCACTTGACTCTGGTGTAGTTTGAGTCGTTCACCCAGCAAAGGGTTCTGAGGAGCTGCTCCCTGGGCAGCTGGTGTCACTGACAGTGTGGCAATCTGGGCCCACAGAGCAGGATAAGGTGTTCTGGACAATGACTCAGGGCTCAGCGTGTGGCTCGATGTTAGAGCACTTTCCTAGAACGTGTGAGGCCGGGGTTCGATCCCCAGCATGGCAGGAACACAAAAAAGAACCATCAGTGAAGCGCCTCAGAACCACCCAGGGAGCCACTGTGACTCTGGAGTTGAGACATTGTGGCTTCTGAGACCCTCACTCCATGCAGAGACGACCCCTCAAACTGTATACTCCCCCGAGTCTCTGGCAGACGGAGACAGGGTGGCCTGTCACCTACCTTCCTGTAAGTACATGACGGCCTGGGAGTAGTTCTGCAAGGCATGGTGGGTCCTTCCGAGGCTACTGTAGGACACCGTCTTGGCCACCAGGTCGTTCATCTGCGCAGCGATGCTCAAGTGCTGCTCTTGGTAGACCACAGCCCTCTCGAAGGTGCCCAGGGACTCGTATGTCAGGCCCAGGTTCCCGTAGGCTCGGCCCTGGCACGTGGGGTTGTTGGTTTCCTCGGCGATCTGCAGATCGAGCTGGTGGTACTGCAGGGCCGTGTCGTACTCGCCCATCTGCTGGTAGACGCCCCCCAGGCCACAGGCCGCGTCACTCTCCAGGGCTCGGTCCTTCATCTCCCGAGCGATGCTGAGCTGGCGCTCGAGGCAGGAAATGGCCTGCTCGTAGTTCCCCAGCTGGCTGTGCAGACTCCCCAGCTCGCCGTAGGCCTGGGCTTTGTTGGAGGCCTCCCCGAGCTCGTGGGCCACCACCAGCCTCTTTTCAAAGCACACGAGGGCTTGCTGCAGGCTCCCCATGGCCCTGTGGGGATGGAGACAGAAAAGCAATGATATTATTTCGTGCAGGTGCAGACATGCCAAAGCCCCTGAGAAAATGGAAAGCATTTGTCACTGTCACTTACTATAGAAGCTCTTAACTCCTCTTCTAGCTAAAATCTATCATGTGCCCTTAGAGTGAGATGCAGAGGAATTTCATAATCTGGAAAGCAATTCAAAAGTCATCCCTTAGTGACCTTCCCAAGAGCTCGAGATTCAATGGGATATACACCCCAGAGGAAACATAAAACATATTAATAGGCACAATGATAGCAAGTGAACTGTTGGGTTCTTCGGGCTTCCCAATTTCCACTACTGCTTAGACTATGTTTTTGAAATCACTTTACAGAGGCTATAAATCTATCACCTGGGCTTCTCAGAGCACTCTGTGGGTGATGATTTAGTTTGACCCTTCCCCTTCCTCCCATCCCAGGGCCCTAATCCCCTGCCTATGTGGTGAGGCCATAGATTATGCAGACACAGGCACCCCACATTTGGAAGAAAAGCACCCTTGGCCAACTGTGTGTCTTTGTGTGCTGCTCAGAAATGACATGATCAGAATGGAAAGAGCACGGGACCTGGCAGCAAATCAAACCAGTTGTGTGGGGCCTAAGGATTCCCTTTCCTGAGTCTCAGTTTCTGGGGGGGACACATCCCCAGGCCTGGCAGGTGATAGTGCACAGAAACCAGGACTGCTCTGCCAAGAGAGCTCTGAGAGGGGCCCAGCCTGGTGAGGGCATGGGGAAGGGGTCCGTCCACTCCTGCAAATATCCAGGGGCTTTTAGGAAAAGGAGTTAGTGGGTAGTGATGTACTGATAAACACATTCATAAAATGTGGGAGGTATTTAGAAAAGCCCTGTCAAATTGATTCATTCCCATTCCCATCCCTATTCATTCTTTTATCTTGATCCTTTTGATATCATCCAAAAAACACCACTTCTGGAGTCAGAGCCCTGGGTGTGACTCTTAGTTATCCCTTTTAAGCTGTGTAATCTTAAGTATTAACCTAACCTCTCTGGACTTTGGTTTCTTCTTCCGTAACACAAAGGTAATAATATCACCTGCTTAACACAAAGACTGTGGGAGAAAGCAAAGGAGGTTCGTGTGGAAATGCTTTGTGGTTAATAAGCTGCCACGCAGAGGTGCTCTCACCCTCACCGATGCTCCTGTTGTAGGCTTATCTACCTGATCTGTCCTCTGTCATTTTTACCTGTGTCCGTTTCCTAGCCCCCGGTAAGCCTTGGCTTGGTCTTGCATGCGATTCAGACTCTGGGCCACAGATAAATACTGCTCGTAGTACTTGATGGCTTCCTCGTAGTCACCCAGGGCCTCGTAGCAATCCCCCAGGTTGCCGTAGGCGCGGCCCCTGTCGAGCACAGACTCGTTGCCACTGAGCTGCTGCAGCATGGCCAACTGCTGCTCAAAGTAGCCGATGGCTTCCTCCATCACGTTCATGTTCATCTTCGTGATGCCCATGTTGCCATAGACCTGGGCCTCTAGGCTTGGGTCCTTCAGCTTCTGCCCCAGATCCAGCTGCTCCTCGTAACACTTGAAGGCCATCGTGTACTTGCCAAGGGCCATGTAGACCGCAGCCAGGTGCCCATGGGCTCTGCACTCCCCTGGCAGGTCGCTGAGCTCCTGGTACACCTCGAGCTCCTGCGTGTGATAGCCCAGGGCCTTGTCATACTTCTGGATCATCCGGTACGCAGTGCCCAAGGCTGCATATGCGCTGGCCTCCAGTCTTCGGTCCTTTACGTGATGGGCTAAGCCCAGCTGCTGCTCGTAGAATTTTATTGCACCATTTATATCTTTTTTACAGATGAATATATCGCCCAGGTTCCCTAGGGCCCGGAATTTAGCCTGGGAATTATTCAGGGACTGGGCTAAGGACAACAGGTACTTCTGACACTCCTCAGCTTTGCTGAAATTCAGCAGTGCCTTGAATGCGAGGCCCAGGTTGCAGTAGGCTTTCGCCTGGCTCAACTTGTCATGAAGGTCTTTGGCCAATGCCAGATCCTGCTCGTAGTACTTCACCGCCTCCTGGTAATTGCCAAGGCAGTAATGGGCATAGCCGAGATTGTGGCAGACCTTCCCTTCTCCCTCCATGTCCTGGAGGTCAGGAGCGAGCCGCAGGTACTGTTCGTAATAGGGGGCAGCCTGGACATACTCTCCCCGGGAGCAGTGGAAGTTCCCCAGGTTGCTGAGGGCCCGGGCCTCGCTCTGGATGTCCCTCAGCTCCCGGGCGATGTTCAAGTGGTTCTGATAGTGCTGCAGGGCCCGGTCGTGGGCGCCCAGGGCCTGGTAGGCCACGGCAAGGTTCCCGTGCGTGGACGCCTGGGAGGCGCGGTCGTTCACTTCCATGGAGATCTGCAGCTCCTGCCGGTGGTACTTGACCGCCTGGTCGTACAGGCCCAGGGCGTTGTAGGCGTTGCCCATGTTCCCGTAGGCGCGGCCCTGGGCGGCGTAATCGCTCAGCTCCTGGGCGATGCACAGGTGCGTCTTGTGCAGCTTCAGCGCAGTGTCGTAGTCGCCTTTCATCTGGTGGATGATTCCTGGGAAGGAGGAGAGAGGGCCAGGAAGATGGGCATAACTGATGGGTAATTTAGGAAAAAAAAATGTAATTTGCAACTCAATTTATAGTAAATACTATCCAGATGAATTAAAGAATTTCAAATAACAGAAGGTAGAATTAAATATTTATCAACTCTCCAGAGGGAGGAGAGCTTTATAAGCTTCAAAGCAACAGGAAAAAACATCAACAGATTTGATTACAAAAATAAGGACTTTTCTACTGCAAATAAGTATCTAAAATTAAAAGGCCACAAACACTGGGATATATGTGAAACACATATGAAAAAGTTTAATATCTATTGTGAGTAAAGACATCATTCAGTTTTAGAAAAAAATCAAGACCCTGATTTATTTTTTAGAAAAATATTTTTAGTTGTAGGTGGACACAATACCTTTATTTTATTTATTTATATTTTCTAATGTGGTGCCGAGGCTCAAACCCAGTGCCAGGCGAGTGCTCTACAACTGAGCTACAACCCCAGCCCCCCAATTTATTAAAAGAGGCAAAGAACTAGAAATGTTAGCAGACAACTCACATCCAAAGAAATACAAAGAGTAACCACAGGGGGAAATGCTAATTTCCTTTAATAATCAAAGAAATGCAAAATAAACCAACCCTGAAGTACCATTTTACTCCTGCTAAATTAGCAAATAAAAAATTTAAACACCCCCTATACTGATTAGGTTGCCCTGAAATTGATAAACATAACAACTGCTGGGGACATAAACAAGAACAACCTTTGGATCAGCAGTGTGCCAAATGAAGACAGCCCCACTGCGTGTGCGTGTTGAGTGTGTGTGTGTGTGTGTGTGAGAGAGAGAGAGAGAGAGAGAGAGAGACTGGGGATTGAGCCCAGGGAGTCTGTCATTGAGTCATATACCCAGCCCTCTGTCCCCAGCTTTTTTTGAGACAGGGTCTCTCTAAGTTGCCAGGCTGGCCTTGAACTTGAGATCTTCCTGCCTCAGCCTCCACAGTCTCTGGGACTGTGGCATCTGGTCCTACTCTGACCCCACCATCCTGCTCAAGGGAGCATAAGCTAAGAAAATCAGTCAACGGCCACACAAACTAAGTGCTTTTAGTCTTTGCTGCAGCATTATAGAGAAGTGGAAAATCAGAAACATCTTAAATGCCAAACACTGGGGGACTGTGCCAGTGCATTTTGGCATATCAACTCAACAGAAGATGACACTGTTATTAAAAAGGTCATTATGAAGTCTGTGCATTAAAACGGGAAATGATCTCACGATCGTGTTAACTGGAAAAGCAGGAAGCAATGCTGCAAGCTGCAGGTGACAACTAGGAGAACAAAATTTGTGTGTGTGGACAAGACCTGGAGGGGACTCCACAAGATGAAAGTAGCTGCCATGCTAAGTGAGGGGATTTGAGTGATTTTTGTTCCAAAATTTCCTGTAACTCTGCTCTATGCTTTGACAATCAACAATCACAGCGCTTCAAACAACCCCCATAAACTGCACTCCAGTTCCTAAGCCAAGCCACTGTTTTATCTGCAGTTCAAAATGAGATGCATCATGAATATAAATTAGTTCCAAATGAGGGGTGTCATCAGGGTAGCCAAGGTGGCCCATCCCAGGAGGGGCATTGGAAGAGGTGCAGAACCTCGTGTGTGCTTCCTCCTGGCTCTTGGTTTTGCACATACCTTTCTGTGCACCAATGAGCAAGCTCTGCAGTGGTGACCAACACCTGCAGAGGCACAGGAATCACCAAGATGAGCTCTTGTGCAAATGTCTGATTTGAAAATGGGAGCTGTCGAATCCCTGCCTTTGCAACTTACCTAATTTTATGTCACCCTTTGTTCGCTGACTTGTTCACCCAGCAAACGTGAACTAGACTTGTGGTGGCCACAGGGGTACAGGGAGAGATGAAGCCACTCTGCCCTCTGTACAGAACCATAGGGTGGCAGTCAGGTGCGAATCACGCCAGGACACATAATCAATGCTGAAGTCGGGGCGCGGGGGTGGGGGTGAGCCTGCCAGGGCCACCGGATGGCCCTTCCTCCCCACCTGCCATGGAGGTCTGTCTGCCCTGCCACAGGAGTCCTGCCTGCTCCTGGGACTGCCGGCTCTTTGACATTAACTGGACTTAGGGTACTGGGTAAATCACTTAGCCCCACTCCACTGTATTCAGTTCTATAAAATGAGGAGAATTAAGAATAGTGATAGTGACACTAGAGGGTGGTGATAAGGATCAAATGACATAAAATATTTGCAAGTGCACTGTAAACTCTAAGTGAAATTCAAGTATTAGTACTGCAATTACTATATACTTCCAGGAAAGGGAGTTCTTGAGGTGGCAGAGGTAAAATACCGTAATTCCTCTGTGTGTTTTTTATGAGTCAAATATTCCATAATCTTAAACTAACTAAATCACAGTACATCTATATTAATGGGATAACATGATAACATTAAAATGGTAATGTAGAGTTATATTAAGGAAATATATATGCTACAAAGCCACATTTTGATAAAAACTAACAGGGCACATGTATGCAAACATATTTACTTTTTGTGTGTGGTGGTAGGATTGAAGGTTTGTTTTTTTTTCTTTTGACTTATCTGTATTTAATTTTTTTTTTAGTTGTAGATGGACACAATATCTTTATTTTATTTATTTTTATGAGGTGCTGGGATTGAACCCAGGGCCTCACATATGCTAGGCAAGCATTCTACCACTGAGCCACAGCCCCGGCCCCATAAATACATATATATATTTTAAAATAAGGAACATATAACTCTTAAAGTAATTTTGAACTCTGGTCCAATGGGAGAAGTAACATTTCTGGGACTGATCCGGGAGTCACTCCCTCCCTGGGGTCACAATCCCAGGCTGGCGGCATCAGGGGTGTCCCAGCTGGAAGGCTGGCGGTGTTTCAGAGTCTGTCTCAAGGTCAGGAACTCTAAGGGGCCCGAGAGGAACTAATGCCTCGGCAACACCTGGGATCTCAAGTAGTGAGCAGAGGGCAGCTGGGCGGGTGGCAGGGTGCCTGGATCTCCCACAGGGATGGCTTGCAGTGTTTTTGGCACCATAGCACTGGATTATTTCAATGACCTCCCCCTTCTCTGCAGCACTAGGGACTGAACCCAGGGTAACTCTGCCACTGAGCCACATCCCTGCATCCCCAATCCTTGTCTTTAAAATTTTTTTTGGATGGGGCCTGCCTTGACCTTGTGATCCTCCTGCTTCAGCCTCCCGAGTTGCTGGGATTACAGGGGGGGAATGCTGCACCTCGCCTGGCTGCAATGAGTTTTAAGCCAGTATGATTACGTTTGGTTGCTACAATGACAGAGGAAACAAGCAACAGAGGTCTTCAGAGAAGGCCACTAGAGGCATGCTGGTCTTCATGTATGTCCCCCCACCAAAGACAAGGTCTCTTTGCTAGTCCCCCACCCTCCTCCAGGATTGATTGTTCAGAAAGCTGAGCCTCAGGAAGGCGCATGATGACAGAAAAGGCACCAGGGTTCAGAATAAACCAGAAGTCCTGCTTTATAAGCCTGGCTCCTGCCACATTCAGCTGAGTTTCAGTCTTTGAGACAGTCAGTGTCTCTGAACTTTGCTTTCCTATTATTTTAATTGAAAGTTGGTTTTATTTTGGCATTTTTTGCTTTCTTACTAACAATGTCAGGTTATAATCATCTCAAAGAAGGAGTATGAGAAGCACATACGCAGCTGGGCATGGAGGCACATGCCTGTAATCCCAGCTACTCAGGAGGCTGAGGCAGGAGGATCACAGGTTTGAGGCCAATCTTCACAATTAAATGAGACCTGTCTCAAAATAAAACAAAACAAAACCAAAAAAACCCCCCAAAAACAAAAAAACAGGATGTAGCTCAGGGGTAGAATGCCCAGTTTTGCAAAAAGAAAAATAAAAAACAAAACCACCAATGTGCGTTTTTGAACATATAACATGGCATGAGCAGTACTCAGAGAGAGAAAGGGAAGGGACTCTCTTCCCTCACTCTGGCCGGAAGAGTCTGGGCTAGTTAATAGGGAGCAGTTGGTAGATAATGGCTACCCAGGGTTCGATGATTTGCGAAGGGAACTGCCTGCTGGTGACAGCAAAGTGATCTGACCTGCAGCCAGCCCTCCGAGCCTCCTCCCCGAGCCTCTGTTCTTCCTTCCCAGGGCCTCTGAAGTGTCCAGAGGAAGGGTCTCAAAACAAAGCCTTCCGCAGCAGACAAGGGCGAGCGGTGGGGCTGGTGGGGTGGGGCACTTTTTCTTCTGCGCCTCTCTCTGCTGTCCCCCGGCTGCTAGTCTGGGGGATTCTGAAGGGAACACTGTGCGTGCTCTCTCGCAGCCTCTCTTTGTTGAGCGACATAAAAGCGGCCCTGAGAGCTGCCAGCAGAGCGACTGCACATGCTGAGGGGATAATCTGCAGATCCTCCTTCCCTTTCCAGACCACAGCTTGATTTTCCAGGGCCGTCACTCAGATGAAGACTTACAGAGGGCCTGTCAGCAGGGGCGCGCGAGGTGACAACGTGCTGCAGGGAGGGAATTAAATGAAGATTAGTGGGGCAGAAGACCCTCACAAAGCCCTGCTCTCACCAGGGCGCGCGGGGGAAGGACACGTGGTCGCGAATCCAACCCAGAGCGGGCCTCCTGCTCGGTCACTGCCTTCTTCAGAGGCCGTGGTGGTGAGGCTGGCACAGGGGCCTGGGACACAGTGAGCGCTCCCAACGTTTTAATTTTATCATTAACCATTAAGAGCAAAGAGCACAGGAGCTGCGAACGGGGCACCCCAAACAATTTCAACTAGGACTCGAACACGGGGTATCTAGCAGTGGACCCTGCCGCCTTTCTCCGTCGGGCCTCCGTGCCCCTCTGCGACAGTGGGTGCGCTCTTCCGCTCACTGAAGACATCCCCGTTGTGATCACCTCTGGTGCGCGACCCGGAGGGGCTTCCAGCCCCTCTCCGGCTTTCAAGGGAACTGAGATCTGCCTTATCCAGCGACCCCCCGAAGAAAA